TCCCAATGGATGTAATCAACAAAATAGCAGCTATATCTCCACCGACCATCATAAAGGAAACACAAACTTTCTTAGGTGTTGTGGGTTTTTGGAAGGTGCACATTCCAGATTACAGTCTGATCGTAAGCCCTCTGTATCAGGTGACCTGGAAGAAGAACAATTTCAAATGAGGTCCTGAGCACCAACAAGCTTTTGAACAAATTAAACAGGAAAAAGTTCATGCAGTTGCCCTTGGGCCAGTCCGGGCAGGACCAGATGTTAAAAATGTGCTGTACACCGCAGCTGGGGAGAATGAGCCTACCTGGAGTCTCTGGCAGAAAGCACCAGGGGAGACACGAGGTTGACCCCTGGGGTTTTGGAGTTGGGGATACAGAGGATCCGAGGCCGCTACATTCTGACTGAAAAAGAGATATTGGCAGCCTGTGAGGGGGTTTGAGCTGCTTCAGAAGGGGTTGGTACTGAAGTACAGGTCCTCCTGGCACCCCAACTACCAGTGCTGGGCTGGATGTTCAAAGAGAGGGCTCCTTCTACACACCATGCAGCTGATGCTATGTGGAGTAAGTGGGTCACACTGATCACACAGCGGGCTCGAATAGGAAACCCCAGCTGCCCAGGAATTCTGGAAGTGATTATGGACTGGCCAGAAGGCAAAGATTTTGGAATATTGCCAGAGGAGAAGGTGACGTGTGCTGAAGAGGCCCCATCATATAATAAACTGCCAGAAAATGAGAAGCAGTATGCCCTGTTCACTAATGGGTCCTGTCATATTGTGGGAAAGCATCGGAGGTGGAAGGCTGCTGTATGGAGTCCTACACGGCGAGTTACAGAAGGTGAATCAAGTCAGTTGGCAGAAGTGAAAGCCACCCCATCCAGCTGGCTTTAGACATTGCTGAACGAGAAAAGCGGCCAATGCTCTACCTCTCTACTGACTCATGGATGGTGGCCAATGCCCTGCGCGGGTGGTTACAGCAGTGGAAGCGGAGCAACTGGTAGCGTAGAGGCAAACCCATCTGGGCTGCCCCATTGTGGCAAGATATTGCTGCCCGGCTAGAGAAGCTGGTTGTACAGGTATGTCATGTAGATGCCCACGTACCCAAGAGTCAAACCACTGATGAACATCAGAACAACTAGCAGTGGATCAGGCAGCTAAGATTGAAGTGGCTCAGGTAGATCTGGACTGGCAACATAAGGATGAAGTTTTTATAGCTCGGTGGGCCCATGACACCTCAGACCATCAAGGAAGAGATGCAACATAGAGATGGGCTCATAATTGAGGGGTGGACTTGACCATGGACAGTATCACACAGGTTATCCATGAATATGAAACATGTGCTGCAGTTATGCAAGTCAAGCGGTTAAAGCCTCTCTCGTATGGAGGGAAATATAGATATGGACTGAAATATAGATATGGGGAGGCCTGGCAGACTGATTACATCACACTCCCACAAACCAAGGCAAGTGCTCCGTACTTAGAACGGTGGAAGAAACCACAGGATGGCTGAAAACATCTCCCATGCCCCATGCCGCTGCCCTGAACACTATCCTGGGCCTTGAAAAGCAAGTTCTGTGGTGACATGGCACCCCAGAAAGAATTGAGTCAGACAACGGGACTCATTTCCAAAACAATCTCACAGACACCTGGGCCAAAGAGCATGGCATTGAGTATCCCACCCCCTATCATGCCCCAGCCTCTGGGAAAATTGAATGATACAATGGATTGCTAAAGACTACCCTGAGACAGTGGGTGGTGGGATCCTGAAACGTTGGGACACACATTTAGCAAAGGCCACCTGGTTAGTTAACACAAGGCCAATCAAGCTGGCCCTGCACAATCAAAACTTCCATGTGCTGCAGAAAGGGATAAAGTCTTCATAGTGCGCATGAAGAATATGTTAGGGAAGACAGTTTGGGTTATTCCTGCTTCGGACAAAGGCAAACCCATTTGTGGGATTGCTTTTGCTCAAGGACCTGGATGCACTTGGTGGGTAATGCAGAAGGATGGGGAAATCTGATGTGTACTTCAAGGGCTGTTGATTTTGGGTGAGAATAGCCAATAAATTAAATTGTATGATGTTAATTGCTAAATAACCCTGCCATTGTATGTCATCACTACTACAATTGCTATAGGCCTTATCAGTGGTATCACAGTAAGCATCACCCAAATTAATGAAGGAAGAACTTTGACAAAACCAAGTGCCACGATGATGGGACTAGAACTGACTTCAGCAACTGGCACCCAGCAGCCTCCTTGAAATCGACATCTTCAACCTGCAGACCGTTAGCACAGGCCCTGTCAGATACGGCACCCATGAGCTCCGGATGCAGCCGCAACAATCCAACAGCACACACCATCGCTCCTGCCCTGAGAGACTGTCGTGACAGATGGAGCCCAAAGTCATGGACTAAATGAACTCAACGGACATTTTAGAGGGATGGCCCGTAGACTAAATGGGAATGATATCTCCCTGTATATGTACATACATATATATATCAAAGACAGGAAGAGTGGTGGTGATTAATTGGAAAGTGTAGGATCTGGGCATGACGTAGATGCTATGGAATAAGGGGTGGATAAAGTCCTGGATTTTGGCTGGGATAGAGTTAATTTTCACAAGAAGCTGGGAGGGGCCACAGGCAGGACACTGGGGATGCTCTGCCAGGGGTCTCATGCCTCCCACAGAGAGACCGCTCCAAACCCCTGCACGTTAGTTTGCTCTGCTGCAGGGTCTCCCCACTTTCCTTGTCAAAAGTGCCCCAAGATGGCTCTTGGGCCTCTCTATGGTATATTTTAGATTTGGAAACTTGAGCCAGCTTTTATTCAGTGAATCCTGGAGTTTGGGAAGCTGCAGGGGAGGGAGTTTGGTTAACTCTAGCTTGTTGATGGAGGCAGACAAGGAGAGTCTGGTATAAATAGACTTCTTGTGGGGTTGTGACCCCCTTCTTTCCACCAGAATCTCACTTTTTCTTTTTTACTTGACAGTCCTGTTCCCCTTTTCTGTGACATTTCTGCAGTTGTTTTGTGGCTGCCAAGCTCTCAGGCAGTTTCATTTTCTGTTTGTAGATCTACATTGAGTTGGATTTGCGCTACCAGCCTCCAGATGGCTCAGCTGGGACCTGGGTTGAAGAGGACTTTGTCTGTCAGATGAAAGACAGGTACTGAAATCCTGGGAGCAGCAAATTTCCAGACAGTTTGTACAGCTGCCTTTGCCAGTGGCAGCCTTTGGGATGCAATCCAGCCTCATTTGCTCTCCACCTTTGACCAGGCTGATGCATCTCTGCTCTACAGCAGCAATAAGTGAGCAGGGTTCTTGGAAAGGACATACCTTGTCTTCACAAAGACCTCATGACTGCAACAACCCACTGCACCCTGGGAGTCCTTTCAGACTTGACAGCATTTCTGCAGCCTTCCTGGCTGATGGGAGCAAGACATTGTGGTTGCAAAGTTGCAGAGAGTGTGGCTTTAGACCGTAGCAGCCCCAGGCACCCTGCGTACAGGTGGTGCCCAAAGCCAGGGGAGATGCAGGTGTCTGGGCGGACAGGATGACAGACAGCAGCAAGGTGTGGGGAGCGTCGCTTCTGGAGTGCTAGAGGCAAAGGAGCAGGCACAGAGGGTGGACAGTGGAAATGCATCGCTTAGGAGGATGCTCATGTCCCTGCCAAGAACCAAACAGGAGCATGGCTGGGGCACTGTTACTTAGATGCACTAGTGAACAGCCGCAACACGCTTGTTTTTTTCAGCAAAGCATCTGGTTTTCTTACAGTTCGGAGTTAATAATCTGCAATCCTGGATTTGAGGAGCTGGAGTAAGTAGCCCCACTTGAGTTTATCAGCTCACCGTCCCAGGTGGAGGGGAGGGCACAGTCCGTTCGTCAGGGCTGACCATGCGGCACGTGACGTGGTGGAGGGTTTGCAGGGCAGCCGAGGTGCTGAGAGCAAGTGAACTGGACAGGAGAGCTGCTGCACTGGGCAGGAAGCTGGTGAAAGGCCTGGAGACTGATGAGGAAGAGGAGGAAGAAGATTTCTATGATGTGTCTGAGGTGGAGGTCTCGGGCATTGTCTTCAGCCCTGTGAAGAGGTATCTGTGGCGTGTTCTTCTCTCTTGCCCCTTGTTGGGCCCTGGGGTGGAAAATGCCAGCTCATGGGGTGATTTCTGGGGGAAACCTGCATCTCTTGGCATTCTGCTTTTGCAAAATGTCAGAAACCTTCAGTCTCCAGTGCCCCAAACAGGCACTGTTGGGGATTTGCTCGTTCCCAGGGCAAGGAGCCATTATTTGCCAGGGTTTCTGTTGCTTCCCTTGGTGGAGGCTTGCTCAGGTCCGTGTAGATGAAGACACCTGCTCACCTGGCTTGTTCTTCTGTGCAGCCGCTCCAGACTTTGCTCCGCACGGGACCTCTTTGCCACCCCAACCCCGCAGAGCTTCCAGGTACTGCATCATTGGGTGCACGTCCCTAGAGCTGCCTCTAGCCCCCAGCCGGTCCCTCACTGCCTTGCTGTGGGCCTGGGCTTCTCCAGTTGCCACACACCCCAGTGAGGCCTCTAGCATGAAGACACCTTGCTTTGCGTGGCTTCCCTGGGCAAGGTGTGAGATTCACTGAACAAACGGCATCCATGAGTGCTGGCTCCAACATCAGCCAGGAGAAGGGAATCAGCCTGACAGCCACACGTGCCACTGCACAGCACTGCCTGAGCAGAGCTTCGGAGAGCAATGGGCAGGGCTGGTGCCTGCCAGCTTCCCCGAGGCCTTGCCTGGGCCCCCAGGGACATCTATGGGACATGGCTGGGGGTGGAGGGCTGCTGCAGGGGCTTTCTTGGAGTTGCTGGGAGGCTGGTATGAAGCTGTGGCTCTGGCTGATGCTCTGACATTAGGTTTATTTGAAACCACTGTGGAGTTTGGAAGTAGCGTTTGGTCCGTCCCTTCTTTTGCCCAGCAGATTTTAGGGCAGATCTCCCAGCCTGGTTACAATTTAAATCCTTTCTTGGTTCTAAATAAAAGTGGACTCACATTTGGGTCTCCTGCTTTTCGGGGCTAGGTCCTATCCACCAAGCAGGAAGCTTTTGCGAGGAGTGGGATTTCCTACCATCCTTTTCCTGAAACTATTATTCTTCACCTTAACACCTGCCTAGTTACTTGTACTGAGAGCAAATGTGAGAACACTTGTCCTGTGTCTTAGACTCGTAACCAGTTGCAGTGAGACAGCCACATTCCAGTCTTTCCAATGGTGTCCATCTCAGTAGGATTCAAAAAGATATATTGACAGAAGATACAAAGAGCATCTTCTGCAAGAGCTCTGTGGGCCCCACCATGTGGGAGCAGTGGGTTTGCATCCCCTTGGGATCAGGAACTGAGTGGGGACAGCGCTGCTGGGGGGACAGTGCTGCTGGGGAGGCTGCTCTTGTCAAAGTTGCTGGGGATTTAACACTTCATTTCCTTGCTTGTCTGAAAGAAAATATCTCAAATACCATTTTGGTTTGTCCTGGCTGTAGCAGATTTCAGCAGCCATGCTCTTGCCTGCCTTGAGCGCCCACCCCTGCAGCAAGAGGGTCCTGCACATTTGCGTGCTGGTATTGCTGAAACAAGCTCAAGATGGAGCTGGAAATGAGGAGAGTGCTGATCTGAGGGTTTTCTCCCACATTTTCTCAGGTTGGGATTAATATCATTGAAGCACAGAAGCTGGTGGGGGTGAACATTAACCCCTTTGTGGTAGTCAAGGTTGGAGAGGAGAAGAGGCACACAGCAACGCAGAAGTCAACAAACTGCCCCTTCTACAATGAAGTATGTGATATGGACAGAGGGTCTGTCCTTGCCCTACCAGTGTCCCAAGTGGCTGGGGCCATCCTTGCAGGGGATGCTCGGGATGCAGCTGCTCTCAGGCAGAGGTGCTTGTGGGGCCGTGTTGGGAGCCCGGGTCTCAGCTGTCTTGCTCTTCTCTTTCAGTATTTTTTATTCGAATTCCATGAGCCAAGGGACGTTTTATTGCACAGACTCATAGAGATCTCAGTAAGTATGTCCTCCTGGTTATCCCTCAGCAGTAACTGGTACAGCCCAACACTTCAGCGTGTGTATGCTGTGAGTGATGGACAAAGCAAAGGCACCAGTACCAGGCAGGTTTTCCAGCCAGGGGCATTTGCCCTGCAGAGAGGTCAAAGGACCTTCCTGTGGCCACAGTGGGGCCTGGCCCCGCTCTGAGCCAGCACTGGGTGGTGCTGCCTTCCCACCTCCTCCATGTCAGGTTTTCTCTGCATCCAGTGGCTGGAGTGGAGCCTCTGGGGCAGTTTCTTGCCTGTTGCCTTGCTGCCCCGCTGTTTTGGGGGTGATTCCCTCCTGCCCCTGCTCCTGGATCCTCATCCAGCAGGTTGTGGAGGCGAATTACTGGTGTGAGGGGAGCTCAGCAGTGATTTGTCCTTGTAGAAAAGCCCAGGCAGGCAGAGACCAATCTTCAAAAATCCTCTGGACCAAAGTGTAGGGGCTTCTCCAAGACATGAGACTTTTCTGAAGCTAGCTAAATCCAGCCAGCACCTCCTTTGCCAAACGATCTCCAGTGCTTTCCCTGTGAAAGGCTGCACATCTCCTCTTCTGGTGTGGGTTCAGCAAGCACTGAGCAAGGCTCAGGTTTTGGGATAGACACTTAGCCTGGTGGGGGCATGGCTGTGCCTTGACCCAGCAGGATATGGACATAGGAATCCTGCAGGAAAGCAGGTCTGCCCTTGGTCTGTCATGGGGTTTGTCTTGTCCAAACTTGGGGCTGGCAGAAGAAACTGAATTGGCTGCATATGAACGTGCCTTGGGCCAGGTTTGACGGAGGGCTATGGGCTGGTGGACTCTGTGGGAATGGTTGGGCAGGAATGGGTTTGTCCAGAGCTAACTCTGATGGATCAATGTGCATGAGGAGCTTGCAACTGCTGCCTGAACTGTGCATTGGAATGGGCATCTCTTAGCAGTCCTGTCCTCAGAGATGTCTGGATGTGTCACCTGGCTGCCCACATCTCTTGGTGCTCAGGGGGATTTGTGCTGTCTGCAGGTTTTTCACTCAAAGAAGATCCCATTCCTGGGAACGTGCATAGGAACATTCAAGATGGACGTAGTGACGGTGTACAGCCAGCCAGGTATGACTGACTGCACTGCTCCCTTACCCCGGCTTTGTCTGATGTTTCCTTCATGCTCTGCTGGGTCTGGTGAGGCCCTGTCTTTAAAGCACTTAGTTCACATGAGGACCAGCACTTGCTTCTCCTCCTGGCTGTCTCAGGGCTGGTGACACCTTCTGCACCTTCAGAGGCAGTGTCAGGGCAATCTTTGTGCAGATGTAGTTAGGATGTGAAATGGTAACCTGGGCCCTCCACAGGGAACTCCTTCCCTTCCCTCTCAGATCACAGGTTTTTCCAGAAGTGGGCTGTTATCAGTGACCCCACGGACACCCAGGCAGGCGTGAAAGGCTTTGTGAAGTGCAACATCTCCGTCACCGCACGCGGGGATGTTGTGGCGTCCCTTCCCGCCTCCTCCAGCAGCCAGGATGAGGACATTGAAAGGTAGGTGCAGTGTGGTCTTGTGTGCCCCATGCCTCATGTCTGTCTTTGCACTACCTCTTTTGCCCCGTTTTTCCCTCTTCTGATGGGGAAAGACCCAGGGAAAAAAAAGGTGGGCAGGATCCAACCCTCCTGCCAGTCAGGGCATTTCCCAGCATCATGTTTCCTGGGCTCCAGGAGAGAGCCAGAGCACAAAGACGTGAATTTGCCTTTCAGGAACCTGCTGCTGCCTAAGAGAGTCCCCGCAGAGAGACCCTGGGCCAGGGTCTGCATCAAGCTGTATCGTGCCGAGGGCCTGCCCAGCATGAGTGCAGGCATCATGGGTGGCTTCTCCAAGATCATAGGGGAGAAAAAAGTCTTTATTGACCCATATGTACAGGTTTCGTTCTGTGGGCAGCAGGTGAGTCTGCTGGGGGGGGGAGTCTTCGTGGGCCAGGCTGATCCTCCCTTGGCTGTGTGGCAGCGCGTGCTGGGCAGATGCTGCCGGGAGCCTCCATGGGACACAGCAATCCCACTGGAGTCTTGCTGTCTTTGGCAGTGGCCTGAGCCATGTGGCTGTGGATGTGTGGTGCCCGGATGAGAAGGCTTTTGTGGGACTTTTGTCTCTGCAGAAAGCTGCACAGGGAACAGCCCCAGCCTGAGCACAGCCACTGGCTGTGCAGGCAGAGATCTCATATCCCTAAATGTAGGGAGAGAGTCAGACAAATCCTGGAGCAGAAGTCCTCTGTGGCAAACTGACTTAGCCTGACACCCTTGGGAGACTTTACTGAGCTGATGGCCCTTTTCTTGCACTCAGTGCCAGGGTTTCTGGTCCTGTGATATCCACTAAGAGGACAATCAGTCCCTGGATAGCCTGGTGGGCCGGTGGGTGCTCCCAGAGGACCCTGCAACACCTCTGGGTCTGGTGGTGCTGCCCGCTCGTTCCAGTGTTTGCCTTGGCTGTGCAGGGCACATCCAGGGCCTTGGGACAGCTTCTCCTCAGTAAAGCACAGAGAGCTGGGATGGGGGAAGGAGCCACCTCCAGACCCTGCCCAGCACCATCTGCAGGTGGACAGGAGAACATGCTGTTCCCAGAGAGGCTCTAAGGCATCCCTTGCTCGGACCCCCACCAGCTGGGACTGCGTGACTTTCACACGTTCTCTTTCCCAGGGGGAAACATCGGTGGAGACCAACACCACTGAGCCTGAGTGGAATGAGCAGATCAGCTTCATTGAGATGTTCCCACCTCTGGCCAGGAAGATAAAAGTCCAGGTGCTGGATGATGCCAATGTTGGTGACGTGGCCATTGCTACACACTACATTGACCTGCAGCAGATCTCGGATCCTGGCAGGAATGGTGAGGCTTGGCACGGCTGCCCCTGGGGCAGGGTGTCCTGGGCAGCCTGTGCCACGCACCCTCTGCTCGCCCATGGTGATCTCCTGGAGGTGGGAAGCAGGAGTGGCCAAAGCACACTCACATCCCTGTGTCCTGGGCTGTCTTCTTGGGGGAAGGTCTCTCTGCAGCAGCACCCTGTGGTGTAATTAGACCCTGTCCCTGTTGCTGCAGGCTTTAATCCCACGTTTGGCCCAGCCTGGGTGAACCTGTACGGTTCCCCCCAGAACTCGACTCTGCGGGACATCCACAAGGACCTCAATGAGGGCATGGGTGAGGGGATCTTCTACCGTGGACGCATCCTCATGGCCATCATGGTGGAGATCTTCAGCAGCCTCAGTGTGGCAGAGAGGAAGCTTGGGGACAAGACGAAAGGTGCCCTAAGCAAACTGAAGCTGAAGAAGAAAAGTAAGAAATCCAAGGAGAAAGCCAAAGAACTGAGCCAGCTGCAGGGAGAGGAGGAGGTTGGGGGCTCTCAGGAGGCCGAGCAGCCCAGGGAGGTCACTGTGGAGGTGGAAGAGCTTCATCCACTCCCCAAGGTGAGTCCTGCCTGTTGGCGTGGCTGACCCACGCCAGCCTGCGGCATGCACAGGCCTCATGGGGAAGAGGCAGTTGGGATCATGTGCTGGTGTAAGCGCTGGAGCAAACCCAGCTTGCCCTTTGCTGGGCCATCCAGGGCTCCCTGAGCCTCCGCAAGGGCCGAGGCCACACCCACAGCCCCAAAACTGCCTCCCACAGTAAGGCTGGAGCATTCCCACATGCGCTGCCTGCCTGGCACAGGGAGGACTCTCACGTGGGTGTTATTGCCAGGGCACAGCTGCCTTTGGGCACGTATGTTTTCTCCTCTGGAGCCAGGGAGCTGTTAGCTGGCTCTGGGCCTCCACTTGGCCTGGGAAAGGCAGGCAAGATGCAGTTGTGCTGGTACAGAAGCCATCCCTTGGCCTATGAACCTGTGCAGTGGCTTCATGCAGGCACCAGCCAAAGCCATGGCTCTGCACCAACCCCCCGGGATTTCCAACAAAACTCATCCCAGCAGTGGTGACCTCAGCAGCATCCCACTGATGTTCCTTGGGAGGGCTGGCAGGCACTGACCATGCCCTGCTGCTCTCTGAATTTCTGCTGAGGCGGTGTTTTGGCACACGAGGCTCCCGGGCTGATTTCTGTCTCCTTGCTCAGAACGCGTTGGGGAGGAAGGAGGAATTCCTCCTCTTCGCTGCCTTCTTTGAGGCCACCATGATGGACTCCTCTCTCAGCTCCAAGCCTGTCAGCTTTGAAGTCTCTATAGGTGGGTACTCCCCAGGGCCCCATGTCCAGAAACTATGGGAATGGTGCAAATTTCCCTCTGACAGCCTAAGTCAGCACTGCGGTCCTAAGGTGCCAGCCCTTGCACGGCTCGTGCCTCTGAAACAGGAACTCAGGAAGGATAAGGGATGAGGCCAGGGAGTGTGCACAGGGCTTTAATTACCTTAAAAATCCAGATGCTGTCTTATGGGCTTGGAGATTTGCAGTATTTGTCTGAACTGTTTGTTTGGGGGAAGAGTGGTTGAAGCTCTCCTGGGAAGTGGGGGTGACAAGAGGTAGAAGGTTTGGGAGCAAGAAAGGGAAGCAAAGGAAGGGAAGGTGGGATACTGGGGTTGGCCATGTGGTGCTGAGGGGCTGTGACAGGGGGTGATGGGGAAACAAGTGTAGGAGAGCAGGTCCAAGCCCACACCTGCTAAACTGGATAGGTGAAGATATTTGATGCTGACAAGTCTTCCTGAGTGACTGCTGCCGACCCCAGTGTAGGGGTGTAGATGGCAGCTAGCAGGCACTTGGTGGAGCTGGTGGAACCTGAAGGCATACACAAGGACTTCCTTGCAATTGCCCAGCTCCCTCTCAGCCCTCCTGGTTGTCTGTGTGATGCTCTGATGGTTGGATGCTATTGAACTGCTACTTCCAAAACCAGTGCATGCCCATGTGCTTCTCTTGGCACGATGATTGCACTCTGGTTTTGCAAGCTTGCAAACTTGTTTAACAGTGATCCCACTTACTTGTTTACTGTTTAATGCTTCACTTCAAGGACACTATGGCAAAGCTGAAGAGATTGCAACCAAAGTATGGAGAAAAGTGGAAAAGGGAGAAGTGAAAGAAGAAAAACAGCCTTTGCTGGACCCTGGTTCAGATGGTGAGCTGGATGTTGAAGTCCTGGCCCCAGGTTCAGCCGCACTGAACAAGTCGGTGACAAAGAGCCAGAGACCAGAGCCCATGGAGTGTGACAGGTGAGTCTTCTTCATCCTTCTTTCTCACCTGCCCTGGTCCTGCCCCAGCTTCCCAAATTGTTTATACCAGATATTATTAGAGGTCTGCTCAGCAATGCGAGTGCTGTGCAGGTGTTTCTCCTCTTTGCAACCCTGTAGCTTGCCATGGCCTGGCTGGCTGCTTTTGCCCATGAGCCCTACAGGCGCTACGGCGTCTGCCTGATGTGTGCAGGTGGCCAAGGACAGGGTACGAGGGAAACTCTGACAGTAACAGCAGTCCCTTTTCTGGTTAACAAGCAGCATCCTAAGGGCTTGATTCCAGTGAGGAGGAAGGGATGGAGTACTCCGGCACATGTTGTCCTGTGTCGGGCAGGCAAGACACGTACACGAGCTTGTCTGATGATATGTTTGCTCTGGGAATGCTGCCTGGTTTGTCCCACAGGCCTGGCAATGTCTTGGTGTTTGCGTTGTGTGCCCTGTGCCTGCAACTACTCAGTCCCATAGCAGCAAGGAATCTCGGCACCATCCCACACTCCCATCAGCCTCGCTCATCTGGGCACGTGCTGGGCTCTCTGCTAGAAACCCTGCACGCTAGTTTGGGATGGCAAAGGGCAGATCCAGCAGTTTGCATCCATGTCCGTGGTGCAAGGCCCAAACCAGCTGATCCTCTGCAAGGAGGACAGAGCCCAGACGCTGCTGCTAGGTGCACAAGCGCTGTGTTGTGACATGGCACATGCTTTCTGCAAACAGCAGCTGTAACCTCCTGTGCCTGCTGCCCTTAGGTCATACAGCTGCCTGCCCATGATGCATGAGAAGCCCTGCGTGTACGTGTGGAGCTACTGGGAGGATCACACCTGGAGACTCTGCATTTCCAACTGGATTGTCAAGCTGGCAGAGCGCCTGGTAGCGTGTTCAGGGTGTCTGTCCTTCCTTGTAGCACATGCAGTTGCTCTGTGAGATGTTTACCTTAAATATCCTCACCTGCCATGCGAGTCCGTGTCTCTCACAGGGCTCAGTCCCACCTGCCCTTTAGAAGTGTGGGGTAGGGCAGTGGGTGCAGAGCCACTGCCCATGCTGTGCAGCCTGGCGGTGTTTCCTGGAGGCGTGTGTGACGCGACATCTGTGACAAAAAGCTCCTCTGCTCCCGGTCCTGAGCTGTGCGTTCACTGGGGAGATGCTGCTGCAAGCAGACGCTCAGCCTGGGGCTGTCATCAGGGGTGCAGTCTCTTCCCAGGGCCTTGTCTTTCCCTTTTGTGCTTGGAAATATAAAAGCAGAGCTTGCCAGTGTGTTTCAGTGGCTGCTCAAGGACTGAGACACAAGGTGGTGTAACAGCCGGTGTTAAGGTTATCTCTAGGCTCCAGGGAGTACCTGGCAGCACAGTGCTGACCTGTGGCACTCTCACCAGCCCCAGCTCCACAGAAGGGCGCAAGCCATTTGTGGCAAATGCGTCCTTGCAATGTTTCGCTCTGACTCTGCGGCTGGGTGCAAGCTCCCTGCATGTTGTGCTTTTCCCACAGGAGCAGGGGCTGGACGATGTGGAGAAGCTCATGAGAAGGCCAAAGGCTAAAGCTGAAGAGCGACTCAGAGAGGTGCTGGAGGAATTTGTAGCTGGATGCAGGTTAGCATGTCCCTGATTTCCTAAGGTTTCTTGTTTTCAGGGTAGGAGGTAGTATCACGTTCTGCCTGGGCTGTGCGCAGCCTGCTCTCTCGTCCTCTTGAGGCAGATAAGTGGAAAAAAACCCAGGATGACTTGGGCAAAGGATCCTGTAGCTGTTCAAGCTTGGAGAGGAGACCCCCAATCCTGGGAAGCACAGGGGTCCCAGACTGCAGCCTTGATCTTCTTGGACTCCTGGGTGTTTCCTAAATGTTAGGACATTTCCTTTGCTCTTCAGTCATGCAGTCAAGAGACTAGTGTTTCAATCACTGCGACTGCCCAGTGGGGTCCGATACGCATTTCAATCCCCAGCCTTGTGATGGCGACAGTAGAGAGGGAGCCTCAGGTGCTGAGCAATCCCTGGTGTACCTTCCAAATCAAAAAGCTTGCAGAAGGGAGGGCATTGCAGAGGGGGGGAGTTTCTGGTTCATCTGGGTCAGTACCAGAGATTTGGAGCTTGTGCCCCTGCTGTGTGAGCTGAGCTCTGCCTGCTGGCTGCAGGGGATGCAGAGCCTGTGCTGCTTTTCTCATTGCAGGCAATATTTACTCAGCGCGGAGAGAAAAACAATGGCACATCCAAACAACCTTGACAGATGTCGGACAAAATACCTGATGCGCAACATCGTAAGCTGTGGGGCTTGGTGGTGGTAGCCCATGCGATCCCCACTCTGGGGATGCTTCTGCAGGAAGCAGGACCAACTAGAATTGATGCTAAGAAGGAAACTTGGGGCTAAGACTCATGAAATCAGTCATAGGCTTTTACTGCAGCATCTCTCACTTCTGCTCAGAGCCATACAGCTTCCAGCACAGGGAACAGAGGCAGGAACTGGCCATGGCTGCTTCCAGTGTTTTGCAGATGTGTGCTCTGATGTCATCCTTCCTCTCCTGTGGGGCACGTGTGGTTGAGCACATGCATGTTGCTGCCTAGTAAGTTGCTGGAGGCCTTTTGGTGCAGGCTATTCCTGCAGGGGGTTTTGGGGGAGCTCACTGAGACCCACTGCCCTGGAAACTCAGCATAGTCTGGGTACCCATCCAGCAGATCCACATCAGCCATCCATCGGCCTGTCCCTGGAGAGGGCAACATTGAGGTATGCGTAATCTTGCAGACAGGGCCAACTAGCTGAATGAGAGCACAGTTCCATACCCTCCATCACAGCACAGCAGAGCACAGTTATAGTTGTAGTCCCCAGCTTTGAAAGGCTGACCAAAATGCAATGACAGCAGCAGGAAATAAAATTTATGCATGTCTAGGTCCCAGCTTCCTTCCCTCTGCCTCCCTGCACATCGTCACCTAAGCTGTGATGAAGGTGCTCTGGTAAGTCTGAGATTCTCTGAAAGCGAGAACCAGCCCAAGAGATGAGTTTTCTGGCCTTGTCAGTCCATGCCAGGTTTCCACCCTGAATTCCTTCTGAATTTCATTATTAGTTTTGGTTCATCACAAAGTCTCTCCTCAGATGTGTGCACTGTCAGCTAATGGACATGGAAGCCCAGCCCCGTCCTCCGGTTTCCTACATCTTTGTATTCCCACACTTCTGTGGCCCCAAGTTGCTCCTTGTGCAAAGCCTCCCCCAGGCGCTATCTGGAGCCTCAGACCACCAGCTTCTGACACGTTTATTCCTCATACATCTTTCTGCCCCAAATGATGCAAAAGCTCATGGACTTCTGTTACCGGCTGGTATTGGCAGAGTTGATGAGTTACTTGAATCTCCAGTTCTTGGCACCCTTCATGAAATGGCTCATGAGAGGTTTGTGGAGGTTTGCTCTTGGCAGCTGGGAAGCAAGCTGTGGTGGAGGTCAGGGCGTGGTAGAGCAGGATGGACATGATCAGCACATGGGTGCTTCCCCACAGAGCCCCCGGGAGGGCTGCCAGCCTGGCGTGCCTGGGCCACGGCCAGGCGTGTGACAGCCATGGTCTCTGTTCAGGTCCTGTATGCAAAGCAGGGGCTCCGTGTGAAGCGGCAGCTGACTCGAGCCAACGTCAAGGAGAAGGTTAAGGAGACGAGGAGGGTCCTGACAAAGCTACGCTTCGTGGCTAAAGAGGTACAGCTGCTCCCGGAGCACCGTGTTTCTGAGCAGGAGAGGGTGCTGGGCTGGCTGCCAGGGCTCTCTCCTGAGTTGGGGCTTTTCCTCTGCTGTCTTTCCTTGCTATGTAAAATCCCAGGTTCCAGCTGCTGGAAGTTACCATATTTCATGGAATGGCTTTTATGAGGGATGAGGCTTGGCAGCTTTGCAGGGCTGTTGGTGACAGAGCAGGGGTCCCAGGAGCTCAGCAGTGAGTTGGAGGCAGAGCCGGGCCAGCTCCAGGCCACCTGGGCCTCCCTGCCTGCTCTGCCTGGCGGGGCTACGGGCAGTCTGCCTGGGAAAACTGCCTTGCCTCTGCTGCCCTGTACTCCCACCAGGGACTGACCCTGGATGCTTTCTGCAAATTCAAACTTGCATTGAAATAGGGTCTGTCAGCCATGGCAGAGACGCCCTTTTCAGAGTTTCACTGGCTCTATTTTAAGTAACTCAGGAAAACCAGTGTGTTTGTGTAGTGCAAACCAGAATGTAATGTTTGCTGGAGTTAGGTGGACAGATGTTGTTGCAGTTTGGAGAAGTCTTTCACTAAGTGAAGTCACATCATTTTCACGCTGTGAGGTAGACTTCAGCATGACAAAGATGTTATCCCTTGCACCACCCGGAGAAGCTGTCCTCAGGCTCCAGCCTCACAGGCTGGCTGCAGCTGATCCCCCAGAGAGGAACCTCCTCCCGTTTTGCTCCCTGCAATCAGCCGGGAATGTTGCTGTCTCTGTAGAGTCAGCCCTGCACATACACTTGCCACTTCTAATCTGCTTGGAGGCTGGCAGTCTTGGTTTGGATCAGTAATAAATGGTTTCAGCTACTTGTGTACTGAAAAATTGCAAGTACAAGTACCAAGTTGTGGTGGGTTGACCCTGCCTGGAGGCCAAGTGCCCACCAGAGCCGCTCTGTCACTCCCCGTCCTTCATTGGACAGGGGAGAAAAGGTACAATGAAAGGCTCATGGGTTAAGGACAGGGAGAGATCAATTGCCAATTATCGTCATGGGCAAACCAGACTCAACTTAGAGGAAAATTCATCTAATTTATTACCGAGCAAAACAGAGTAGAGCAATAAGAAATAAAATCAAATCTTATAACCCCTCCCATCTTCCCGGGCTCAACTTCACTCCCGGCTTCAACCTCTGCCCCCCCTCAAGGGCACAGGGGGATGGGGAATGGGGGTTGTGGTCAGTTGATCACACGGTGTTTCTGCCACTTCTTCATCCTCAGGGGAGGACTCCTCACACTCTGCCCCTGCTGCAGCGTGGGGTCCCTCCCATGGGGTGCAGACCTTCAGGAGCAGACTGCTCCAGCGTGGGTCCCCCACGGGGTCACAAGTCCTGCCAGCAAACCTGCTCC